ACTTTGTGCGCAGGATGAGAATACATGCATCAACATCGCGATCGAAAGAAGAGGAAGTAGCCACAGGAGGGATCGGCTTCTCACGCTTGATATTCCCCAGCAGCTGGTGGAGATTCTTGATCTCCTGCTCGAGGTGGTCGAGCCTGGCCTCCTGCTCAGCCTGCGTGTCAGCCAAGCCGTCAATCTTTTTCTCAAGCTTAGCTTCCACCGTGGTCCAGCCCTTGGCGAACTGAGTAGCCAACGAGGAAAGAGAGTTCTGAACGCCAGCGATGGTTTGCAGTACCTCTGCCTTAGTAGAGTCCACGTGCATCCGCAGCTCCACCAATTCAGAAACATCAGCAGCCTCGCCAGACTTAGCACGCACATTTCGTTCATCGGGTGGGGTCGCAGGCATTGGAGCCAGCTCTCTGTAAACAGCGCGCACTGAGATGGACCCAAGCCGGTCCAGTGAAAAGAAGCCGTGGGCCCTAGCCCGAAGTCTGAGCCAGCCCTCTCGGCTGCGAACAAGCTGAAGCCACCGTCCTCTTCCTATTCCTTTCCTCCTCCTCCTCCTCCTCCTCCTCCTGCTGCCTCCTTCCCCTGTCACCCCCCATCCTCTCCATGCAACTCGCCACCGCTGCGCTGCCGCCACCGTTGCTCCTCCTCCTCCTCCTCCGCTTCCTGCTGGATAGGTCCTGCCTCATGGATGTGGCGTGGCGTCAGGACTCACGAGCGGCGAGCATGTTTTTGTTCGGAAAAGGGTTGTGCGGAACCTTCCAAAAGGCCTTTCTGGTAAAAAACGGGGTCTTCCCTGCTTTTACGATTCGGCGGCGAACGTATCCGTATCCGCGCCCTCGCGGTCCAGGTTCCAGGGCACGAGCCCGCTGATGCGCGGTCAACAGATACGCTCCGCGCGGGGCACGCGCGAACAAACGTACCGTGTCCGCCAGGTCTGAGAGTATGGTAGGGAGGAGTGTAGTAGGGGATGGAGGGGAACAGAGGGGGGGTGTAGAGGAAGGGGGGAATGAGGAGGGAGGGAGGGAAGAGGAAGAGAGGGAGCGAGAGGGACCCTCCCGTCTGGCGGCACGAGTTTTTCCTGGGGACCGAAGTGGCTTCAAGGACGCTGAGGGTTACGAAAACAGCTCAGGTGCGATGTTTGTCGAGGCGAGAGGGAGGTCCAAGGAGGCTCCCAAACGCCGAGCTCTTCGACCCTCGAGATATTCGGACCTCGGCCAGAGGAATGGAAGCGGGCCTCACCTGCTCCCAGAGATCCAACGTCTTAATTTGTCAAAAGTGGCTCCCCAGAGGTTTGCGTGGCTCAAAACGTGGCCCACCAAGAAGAAGCATCATAGCCAGTACACAGGACTGATCCACTGACGGATCCGATTCATCCTCCATTCGTTGACATCAAATTCATGCGAAGCAACATGCTCTCCCCTCCCGGGGACACTTCTATTGTCCCGGGCCGCCTTTTGACGGCCCCCGGGCACCGAACATATCCAGCCGTGACTTTGTCACGATACGCGAGCATGTCGTGGCCACCTGCTTGTGCACTGACAATAGTGGGGGGCCGCGGAGAGGGCCGAGGAGGCTGAACTATCGTGGTTCCCCAGCACGCCGAGCCACGGCTTCCCCGTCAGCCCGGGGCCCTGCGACACGCAGGCAGGGGGAGGAAAGGGGGGGGGGAACTGCAGACAAGGCCAGGTGGGGCCTTTGCAGCGGGAAGCAGGCTCCTCCTCCTCCTCCTCCTCCTCCGTCCCTTTCCCTCTTCCTCTCCCTTCCCTTCCCTTCCCTGCCTTCTCCTCCTTCCCTGCCTTCCTTCTCCCCCTGCATCCCTTGTCCTTGGCCCTGATTGCCGCAGTACCCCATGACCTGCTTCTCGCCAGTCTTTCTGCAGAAACTGATGCAAGCTGAATGGACCAAGCAGCTCCGAGAGCAAGCGGGGTCCAAACTAGGCCCCCCCAGACTCGCTGCTTGACTCGAGGGTAGCGACAAAGGTGTTAGCCAGCGCTAGTCTCACCAAGCAAGTGCGGGGATGCCTGCTCCCATTCCTGACTCAGGGTTCGAGTGCGGAGCCTCGTCGGATTGCCTCCAGCACAGATTGTTTGGTTGCTCGATTTCCGAACCTGACAGAGAATCAACACGTTCGCCTCGCACGAGGTAGACCTGCTGCAGAACCATCATCGGGAATCGCTTTTTCGTTCCGGATTTCAGATTTCCCCCGAATTTTGTGTCGGCGCGCCCCCTGGAAGGGGCCTTCGCTGGGCCGGTATATGTAGACGGCTACTATGATAATTCGGCCCACCCTGCCTACCACGCTGCTGGCTGGGCTGTAGCCTATATGCGAAATGGGGAACCTCTTGCCATCCTTCTCGGTCAAGCAGGAGACCTTACGAGTAGCAAAGCCCAGGTGTTGCCGAGATGCTGGCGTCATAGCAGCCTGCAACATGTCGCCGACAGTGGTCACAGCGCACATCGACTATCTTAGCACCCTACAATTAGTTTCAACCCCAGACTACCCGAAAAACAATGTGCACGCTGGCTTAGGATCTGGTAGGGCAGAATGTCCCGTCGTCTACCCGTCTCGAGAAAGTCAAAACCCACCAGGACTTGAATGCTGATTTTGCGAACGATCTAGCCAGCCAGCATGCAACAGGCAACGGCAAGGCCAACAAAGCAGCCAAGCGAGCACCCGCCTAGCTTGCCAAACTGTCGTCTAAGGAGCCAGACGACTCCAAAGCCGACGATGGCTGCTGAGGTGTGTCCTGTTGTTTTCTTGCCAACGTTCCTCTAAGATTGCCAGCCGGGCGCCCGAAATGGGTACGGAAAAACTGGGTACAATGCCCAACAACAAATGTTGTCTTAAACCAACAGCAGCCGATCTTGGGCAGGCGGCCTTCTGTCTCAAATGGACACAGACCGCGGAGGCGTGGACAGCGAGCCCTGTCCAAAATGAACAGGATCCGCTGTTGGGCATTGTACCCATTCTTTCTGTGCCCATTTCGTTCGTGCAGATTTGGGGAACCCGAAAGGTACCAATACCGATACTCCCAGGACATCTCCCGGAGTGCGTTCTGACCAGGATTTCGAAGCGAATCCAGCGGTGGCAACGAGGGCCTCCGAGGAGGCCCAAAAAGGGGAAAACGGGCGAAGGGTAGCGGTATGGGTACCTTGTCTTCCTCCGAGCCTTGGCCCCCAAAGGGAAGAAAGGACCGAACAAGCCAGAGCAGCGCCCGAGTCCTCCCATCGGGGCCGCTTCGGCCCCTTCCGCCTGGGACCCTGGGCCTGGTGCAGGCGGGGGCTCCTTGCCGAAAGGAGGGGGACGAGGAGGAGGAGTAGGAGGAGGAGGCGGAGGAGGAGGAGGAGGAGGAGAAAGAGGAGGAGGAGGAGGCTCCTCCTCCTCGTCCTCCTCCTCCTCCTCCTCCTCCTCGTCCTCGTCCTCCTCCGAACCTCCGAAGCCGAGCGCTGGTCCCCCCCTCGCTCTGTGTATATATTCGTGCTGCTCCTGCGCTGGCCGTCCTATGGTCGAGCGCGGCTCCCCAGCACGCCGAGCCGCGGCTCTTCAGTGCCGGCCTGGAACCCTGAGCCAGCACGCGGAACGGGACGGGGGCAGGTCAAGTTCGGCAGGGATCAGCGGGGCGGTGGTCGGAGGCCTGGAGGTTGACACCAACACCAATATCGGCGGTGTGCTTCCACCGGGGGATGGCGATCCCGATCTCGGTGATGGTCATTTTCGGGCTTCCTAGGTGGCCGAAAGCTTACCACCAACACCAAAACCTGGGATCCTCTTCCCCTGGTGGAGGCAACCCCCTATGCTGGTGCGGGTGCCCATCTCCAGGCCTCCTAGGTGGAGCAGCAGGAGGCTGGAGGCGGCCAGGCGGACGGAACCGGTTGGGACCCCAGACAGGTGGGGGGGGGGACAAAGCCAAAGCCGCTCGTAATCGGCTCCCGGATCCCCCCGGATCCCCCCCGGGGTCCATCTGGTGAATTAAATGCCCCGGATCCGTTATTGACGGTCCCGGGGCCCGCAAACGGCCCCCGGAGGTCTAGCAACAACAAAAAAAAACCTTCCCGAACCCATAACCTCGAACGAAGCTGCCCCCCATTCCTGCGAGCCAGAACCAGTGCTGGGCCACCTCAGATCCTCAGCTGGTTCCAGGCAGGAGGTGGGGGAGTTCGGCCCGATCGATCGTGGCTCCCCGAGCGAGCCGAGCCGCGGCTTCGCGGGCAGCCCAGGGCCCCCCCTGCCAGCACGCGGGCGATGAGCGGACAGCTGCGGCCGGGGCGAGCGGGGCGATGGTGCAGAAGTCCTCCTCCTCCTCCTCCTCCTCCTCCTCGTCCTTCTCCTTAAGGCTCAAGAAGGTCGAGTCGGATGTTTTCTGCCGCGTTCGGGCCCTGGGACCGTCAAAAAAGCGCCTCGGCAAGGAGCGTCAGTGCCCCAAGGCTCGGAAACACAGAGGCCTCTGGGGTCTGCAGGAGGTGGAGGAGGCAGACAAGAGAGGAGCTGGAGATGGGCGGGGAAGTTCGTGAGGATGGCATGGGGGAGGCTGGGGATGGCGGGGATGGCGTGGAGGGCGAGCAAAAGGACGACGAAGACGCCGAACACGAGGAGGATGAAGATGAGGCGGAGGAATCATTACTTCTCCGCGCACGACGTGCGCGATCTGGATCTGCACAGTGAGGGCTCCTGCGTTCCTAGGTCAGCGGCAAACTCCCCCCCAATGCATACTGATGTGTTCACATTCTCTGGAGCAGTTCCTCCGCAGGATTCTGAGCAGACGTGCGCGAGGACACCAGCAACGGGGCCTCGAACCCAGCGCGAGATGAGCAAGGTGAGAGAGTTAGCAGGGGGGGGAAGGGTCCTGAGGGAAACAGGTCCTGGACCCAGCGGCCTTCCCCCAGGACCAGCTCTTCATCCCGAGTCGTTTTCTGACGGTCCTGGGGCCTGGAGGGCCCCAGGAAGCCGAAGAAAGTGAAACAACCCGGGACCCGCTTCCCTCGGGACCCGTTTCCCCAATGGCGAGGGAAGGGGGGGGGGGGGGCTGCCCGCTGCCGCCCGTCGCGCCGGCGCCACCGCCGCCATGGCTCACGCGAGCGCCGGGAGGGCCCATCAGAAGTCCTCTACCATCGTGCCGTCCTGCCCCTGGGTGTGGCCGCCGCCCCCGGCCGCGTCGCCGCTCCACAGCTGCAGGTTGTCGCTCAGCAGCTGCATGATCTGCTCCGCCTCGTTGTAGGTGTCCTTCGGCGGCGAGCGAGGGGGGGAAAGGAAAAGGAGAAGGCCCTCTCGGAGGGCTTGGGCTCGGACGTCTCCTGGCCCTCTGAGAAGTTGTCTAAACCTTCCCCGAAGACGCAGAAAACTTCTCAGAATGCGCGAGAGCTTCTGAGAAGTCCCGCCGCCTCTGAGAAGGCCTTCTCCTTCTTGCTTCCCCTCCTCTCTCGCCGCCGAGTCCTGGTCCACCTTGTCCATGTCCGCGGAGGCGCTGCGGAACGCGTCGCCCGCGAGCTTGATCGCCTTGTCGGGCGCGCCGATGACCTCGTAGTAGAAGACGGAGAAGTTGAGGGCGAGGCCGAGCCGAATGGCGTGCGTCGGCGGAAGGGCCCCCGCGCTCTCCATGGCGAGCTCGTAACTGTCGTGCGCGTCCTGTGACGCCGTGCCGTACGCAGCGGAGTCCCTCTCCGAGAACTCGGCCAGGTAGCGATGGTAGTCGCCCTTCATCTTGAGGTAGAACACCTTCACCTCGGGGTTGGACGCCTTCGGAATCAACTCTCCTGCGAGCATATTCAGGATCTCGGCACACTTGCCGTTGAGCTCACTCTCCACGTTGGCACGGTAGTCCTTGATGATCGCAACCACCGCGGGCTTGCTGGCTTCCGCCAGCTCCAACTGCTTGATAGCACGCCACGCCTGCCTCCTGGCCCCGACGGAGTTCTTGTAGGCGACGGACAGCAGGTTCCTCTCGTCCAGGCTCAGCTCGGAGCCCATCGAGGCGACGCGCTTCATGTACTCGACCATGTCTCCATACCGCTCTGCCTGTTCGGCCAGCCTTTAGAGGCCTCCTAGATGGCGTCGGTGCAGATGGGGTCGGAGGATCGCGCCGCATCGTCGATACATCGGCAATGTATCGGCGATGTATTGGCTATGCACCGGCGATGCACCGTCGACGTCTGCGATGCATCGGCGACGTCGACGTGAAGCAAATCGAGCTCCACATCGAGCCGCATCGGCAATGCATCGGCGATGTGACGCAATCCTCCGACCCCATCTACTCGGACCCCATCTAGGAGGCCTAGAGCCTTGCCATGAAGACGCACTCATCCCGAGTGCCCGACATCCTCCCGTGTGCTTGGGAAGCTGCGCCCGAGACTCTCACGCAAGGGGTCTCTCGCGGACGTCCTCGCTGGGGGGAGAGCGCCGGCCGGATGCTGCGGGGAGAGGTGCTTTGTCTTGCGCCAAAAGGACTACGGTTGAGGGGGAGGTGGACGAGGATGTGACGACCCTTAGGGCCGCGCCGTGATGACCGCCCTCGTTGGCTTCTGGCACCGCGTGGGTTTACCCCGCAAGTGTTTGGTCGTCGACTATACATCAACTGTGTACAATTTTCGACAATTTTCGTAAATCTACGAACATTCGACGTACATTCTCTTCCCCTCCCCATCCCCCCCCCCCCCTCCTCCTGCCCCTCCTCCTCCCCCTCCACCTCCCGACTGGGAGAAGATGAGAACGAGCAGGAGACGGATCGAGCTGCTCCTACCCTCGTGATGGGGATAAACCACAAACATGTGCCTGTCCACCATCGGAGCTCTGCCCGATGAGGAGCCGTGGTTCCACTCTTCAGATCATCCGATCGCTAATGCAAAGACGGCCGCTCATACTCAACCTTCTGGGGCGCCTTTGGCTTTCAATAACTTCAACGACATCTGAGCGACGATCAAAAAAGGGTCTGACGCGAGATGGCAAGGCGACCTTACGCGGCGGCTTACGCGGGCCGCCGGCGCGACATGCCACATTGGAGACGAGGGCGCTCACGCGCGACCTTGCGTAGGCAGCTGACGCGCCAATGTCGGCGCAGACGACCCCATGTTTTTGCTTCGCTCATCTGTTTCTGCCAAAGCCTGCTCATTCCAACCCTGATGTGAGAGGTTGCCCCGTGCGGCGCTGCACACGCCAAGGTTGTGGACTCGTACCCGGCTTGAACACACGCCGACGGACCTTCACACGCCAACGGCCAGCATACCCCCTCCGCACAAGGAGCATCTCGCCACCGTGGGCGTCAAGAGGGGGGCCCCAAGGGGGGATGCTTTACAGACCGAGGATGCCAACATCTCGTTCCCCATTCAAGAGAGGTCTCGGTCGGTCTCCTCGTAGACCTTCTCGAAGTTCCACTCGAACTGCGGCAACGGTACCTCCCGCGGTCCGAGTCAGCGGAGCCGTACTTACGCCCGCAACCTTCACCCTTGAAATGGGAACGGCATCAAGCGGGGACGACGCCCGACAGTACAGGACTGCCGAGATGGTCAGCGACTGTTGTTGGGCAGACGGCCTTCGCCTCCAAACGACCTCGCTCGCCTTGAGGCCAGTCTTGCCCAGCGGGAACCACTGTTAGTCATCGTCACCGGTCGTCTCGTCCCCACCTCGGCATTTTCTCGCACTGCTGCCCCGTGGGCAGGCCCCGTGGCGGCCCATCCCACGCGCGCCTTCGGCGTGAGCTCTGCCGCTAGCCTCCATCCATCGCAGCTCGGGGTGGGCCTGGCATGGACACCGGAAAGCCTCCCTTCATGACCACAAGCACGTTGGCGCTGTCGCAGGCAAGCTCCGCACCTCGTCAACTGTGCGAGCGACGAAGGAATGGAGCTCGCACGCGAGAAGACACACTGGCCATACGCCATGGCTTACGCGGGCCACCAACGCGGCACACCAAGCGGACACGGGCGCTTACGCGCGACCTCTGCCGTCGGCAGGCCCCGCTCCCCCGCAGAACCTGCGGGCCGAACCATCGACGAAAGGGCCGCTTGCGAGGGCGCTCCTAGGCGCTCCCAGGGCGCCCCCTCAGCGTTTCCAGGCACCAGCTGGGCACTTTGGGTTGGGCGTCGCTTCATAAGGGGGGCGATACATGGGGGGGGAAGAAAGGTGCACTTGTCGGACCCGTACGGCCTCCTTTTGGACCCTAAAGGGCCCCCCCCCTCAAGGGCCCCTTTTCTGCAGCCCTCGCTGCCCCCCCATTTATCGTTCACCCACTCCGCGACGCCCCATCGGGGGCGCTCCGAGGCGATCCCCAGGGACCCCCCAGGGGCTCCCGGGCGCCCCCAGGCGCTCCCAAGACGCTCCCAGAATCTCCCAGGCGCTCCCATCCACCGCCACCCGCCTCTCGAGGCCCGCGGTCCCAGCGGCTGGTTCCCGTTGTGGCCCCTGTCATCCCCCCCGGGCCCCCGGGGAACAAAAAAAACGCCCCCTGCCGTGCGTACGGCAACGCGGGCGGGCGGCGAGGATCGAAGGGGCCCAGCTGTTAGCGCGGAGGACTCCTGCCTCTTCGAGGAGAGGCTGCGACCACGGCAGCTCGACAGACCAGGGACAGAGGCGACCTGCCATAGTAGAGCACTCCCCAGAGACAAGGACATTGAACTGACCTCCGTTTTCGGAGGCCAGGCCCGCCCAGAGTTCTTGGGTCGGAGCGTGGTAGCTGGTGAAGTGGCCAGGCCAGGAGCAGGCAACAGTAGGAGAGTCAGCCCACACCTCCTGCGCCGTGGACGACGACGCCGACGCCGACGACGGGTGGAAGGCGATGCTCCCTGGCGGGGTGGGCGATCGAGCTCCCATATTGGTGACGATTGGTTGATTCGGGGCCGATGCATCCCTCCCTGGGCCAATGCACCCCTAACGTTGCCTCCTGGCTTTCGGGTCATAACTCGGCTTTCCGGCGGCCGTTCGGGACGATCCAGGCACTCCCGGAACGCCCTCGGTGAGGCGCAGCTGCGGCGCAACTGCTGGAACGCATCCCGCGGCTGGAGAACCGCCGAGCGCCGACGAAAATGCCCGAAAACTTGGAACTTTCCGTTGCCCCCGATCGGGCCGCCTTTTGGGGACCAACGACGACGGCCGACGACGACCGATGACGGACGACGGGCGATGCCGCCGCTGGTCGCCGGCGGTCGCCGGCCCCGCGCACCACGGTCCACGCGGGAATGCCGCACGCGACCTCCAGCCCCCCCCAGTAGAAATTGTCGCCTGCGCGCGGGCGGGCGGTAATCTGGGACGAGAAAGCGGGTCCCGAGGAAGGTCGAACGCTCCAGAGGCGGTACATTTCCGAAACGCTGATCATTGCACTTACGCAGGGGTGCTTGCGTCTTGTCGCTAAATGATTGGTTGACTGCTCCGTGCTTTCGCCACGGGCCCGCGCCGCCTCATGGGCGCCCCGCGCTGGAGAGGGGATGCCCGGGGTGCGCCGCGTTGCCGCCCGTGCCGCCCCGAAGGCGCCCCACACAGCTTACGCCGCGTAGCTTACGCAGCATGGTGTACAGAATTAAGCTTATTCGACATCGTTGCCACGTCCACTTCGCACCGCATAGCGGACACGACATAGCTTACGCCACACCGTTTGCAAAGCATCGTTTCACCTCCACGAGTCGCACCACACATATTACACGACCTAACATTCACCCCGTAACTTCCACCTGCACGGTGCAATAACGAACTGTTTAGGGTCAGCGCTGGCTTGTGCACACCTGTATTAAATATTAGTATACACACAGATATAAGCATACATATAGGTATATCAACCAGCGTGGGCCCCAAGCAGCGTGTGTGTGTGTGTGTGTGTGTGTGTGTGTTTGGCAATCCGTGGTGTGCAATCTATGTGGTACAATGAATGTTGTGGAATCTCGGTTGTGCAATCTGTGCGGCGCAGTCTATGCTGTGCAATATTTGTGGCGCGCGCACGTTTCGCAATCCATGTAGCGCAATGCATGCTGTGCAGTCTATGTGGTGCAACAGGTGTTGACGATCTTGGGGTTGTCCACTCCACTGCCCGCACGTCCATCCCGTCCACACACCCGCAACTTGGTTTACAATACCACTGCGGAGGCGATTGGTGTGACTACTTGGCGCTGGCTGGCGCATCCCTGCGGCCGCGCTATCGCGCGCGAGCTCTCGCGCGGAGCGGCCAACCTGTCTGGTGCGACCGACGCGGCCGCCTTGGCGCTGACCGTTGGGGGCCTTCCTAACGAATGTCGCAGGCCGTGTTGACGCGCGGGCACTTCAGAGCGACTCAGTGACTCGGGCGGGCGCGGTATCGCGTCGACAAAGGCGGACACGATGATAATAGTAGCGATGATGGTGACGATGATGACGAAGATGACGCACGGACAATGATGGCGCTGATGCTGGTCACGCCGATGACGATGATGGTGTCCACGTGTCGGTGATCAACGTTTTGAAACGATTTAGACATGCACCCCCAGTCGCATTTGATGAGACTGTGGAAACACCTATAGTTGTCTTAAGAACTCGCAAGAGCGCGCAATTTTGCTTGACAAGCTATGGTGCGCAACCATGCTTCCCTTAGTTAAACAATAACGATCGTTTTCGGGCGCTTGACTCTTGACATTCGTGCGGAACCTACGGTTTTGCAAAGCATCCGACATGCGCGCGCCGACTCCGCACGCGTGGACGTTGTCCAAATGTTTGCACGTGATTCTTGAACATGTGTTTTTTGGCAACAGAATGTGCGCGCATAGTGTGATTGAATCGATGCCAGCCTGGCTGGGTAGGTATGAGTTCATATGTAAAATCACCGATGGGCCAGAGCCACATGTAGACTGCAATGCCCCAGGGGATGCCGCTAAATCTGGCCTCGGTGGGAGGTGGGGTCTATTCCTCTTGTAGACAGGGGACCCTGAGTAGTGCAACATATGTTGTTCATCTATGTGGCGCGACCTATATGTTGTGCAATCTAGTGCGGCGACGGCGGCGACATGGCGGCCAGAGCGACCTGCAGGCCCAGGCAACGGGAGGCGACGAGGCGGCGACGGGGCGGCGACATGGCGGCCAGAGCGACCCGCAGGCCCAAGTCCTTACTCCAGAAGTAAGAACCCCCAAACGCAAGCATTAATAGGAACACATGTGTGTACTTATATCTATATACGCATTGGTGTGCGTGTGCCGTTGCACAGCTCAAGCAGCGCTCACTTTACAGAGTGCTCGCCGGGCTTGTTGTTGAACTCGTTGTGGATGGGGTTCTAGCCGACCTAGTCGCAGTTCCGGACGCTGTAGTTAAGACGTAAGCTCGGGCAGCGCAGACTTTTCGGAGTAATGTCGGGTCGCCTTGAAGAGCTAGGTGAGGTATGTGACGGATGGAGTGGTTGGCGAGGAGCGCTGTGACCCGACGGAGGGTGTGGACGCGCGTGGGGAACATCACCAGCATGCGAAGGAGGATGGGCCGAGCCATTCCTGTGGCG